TGGTATTCAGGGACGCCAAGAAGAGTTACTTAGCCTCTGAGGATCATGACCCAGACAGGGCTGGCTTTGGATTTGTCTTGCAATTTGAGTGACAGTAGGTGGGGCAGTGGGAATTAAGGAGGAATTGGGGTGGTGCGGGGATCAAATTGGAAAGTATATTGTGACTCATTGGCAATTAGGGCTAGCTTTGTATCTAGTGATGGCCTTGGGTATTGTCCGTATTTTTATTTTGAGTCTGTGATATGAGCCCTGCTGAAGCCATGAAGCTAAAACTTAGCTCTTTGCATTTTTCTCTTGAGTTGTAGCAGCACACTTTATATTCCAGACAGGCTGCACAGGACATGTTGAAGTACAAAAGAGCTGCTGGGTTTGGGATAGCGTGTGGTGGAGAGCTGGGGTAGGCTCGCTGGCGTATATTAGGAAGTAGGAAGGCTGCTAAGAAATGTGTAGAAACTGTGGGGTGAAGCATCTATATTCGAGAGACACAGCAGAAAACTTGATCCTAGTGGTACGTGTGTGTGTGTGTGTGTGTGTGTGTGTGTGTGTGTGTGTGTGTACATGCTTGCCCATAAGCACGTTCTGGTTTTCTGAGATGCTATTGACTTGGAATAATTCTGAGGAAATACATATTTCATACAGGCTAGGGGACTAGGCCCTGGATTCATAAGCCTGGTTCTAAGCGCACCACACCCTTGCTGTTGGGTTTCTGGCTGTCTGAGAGAAGCCTTACTAAGCTAGTGAGCAGGAAGATCTTACTCTGCTGGTCTCTAACATAGATGCAGAATAACCAGCCCAGGCGAGAAGTGCCGGCCACTCAGACCAAATGGTGGGGACTGCTTTAGAAGGTCAGAGGCAGGAAGCTTACCTGGCCGCCTGCAGATGCTATCTCTCCACATTCCCTGGCTATGGAGTAGCTGTTGGGGAAGGCCTGTGGGGCCACAACCCCTGAAAGATTCAGATAGCAGTACCTCTAGGCATATGTTCAAAGCCATCTGTGTTAGTTATTTTGCGGTGCTCTTACCCTGCGAGGAAATGTCACAAAACACGACAGAATCTGCTAATAAGAGTTTTATTAAGATGAAAGAGACAGAGAGTGCCCAGGCCTGTGGAAGACATGTTTGTAGAGAAGAAGAAGAAGAAGAGAGAAAGCCAGGAATATGGCGCCGGCTTATAAAGGCTGTGTGGCGCACGCGCGTCCACAGGTCGACGTAACTACTCCACACATGCACAGATCACATGGCTGTGTTGCGCGCTCTTACGTAACCATGCAAAGTCACGGATCCTGGTCACGCAAGACACCTTGACCTGGAAATGGCTATCTTGACCTGGAACTGGCTAGGCGGAAGTGTCCAGGTCCGCCGGGCATATGCAAACACGCCCAACCGTGGGGGTGTGTTATGAAACCATCAACCTGAGCCCACTAAGGCGTAATAATAATGAAGCATGTAACTCTAACACATGGAAAAAATACCTTCCATTTTTTTTTTTTTTTGTCTCAAGTTCCCATCCTACAGTCTCCTTTGAGAAAGGCTAAAAATAACATCTCCCAAGCTGGGGACTAGGGGGGGATGGGAATGTGTGTGGTGCATAGGATTTAAATCTCTCTAGGGTCTCTTTGAGGGGCCTCTCCCAGGATGGTAGAGTAGCCCACACTGCCTGGCGGTTTACTGTTCCCCAAACCCAGAGTTCCCATAGCTGTCATCCTGGGCTGAGAGAGCCTCCTGGGTCTCCTGGTGGTGGCTTCCTCCCATAAATCAGCTACAGACAGCTGCGGCCACTTGCACCCTGGGATAGGAAAATAGACCCTGTTGCTAGACAGCAACCCAGGCTCCATAAACATGGCGGGATCACAGGGCAGGGGGTGCCGAGCCCAGGCACTAGCCAGGCAGGCCCAACAGCCGGGAGATCCATTGGTTTATTTTCACAGTGTCACTGCTGTCTGTACCACAAGAAGGAGGCCACCCCCCGCCCCCTGCTGTGCTGAGGTGGAGGCCACTTACTGCTCGCCACCGGAAAGGCTTGCTGACTGCTGCCTGATTTATTTATTTTAGTTGCACATAGACTGTCTGCCTGGTCTAAGTTTGGAAGCCAACAGGAAGTCATCCAGTCAAATACCAAGCGTTCAATACGTGTGTTTTATTTGGTCCAACAAATATTAGGTTGAGAAAGAAAGGGAAGCCTTCTGTTGACGTATTCCTAACCCCTTCCCACCCTCAACATCAACCCCAGCCCCCAAAAAATCCTGTAGCACCATCTAGCTCAGTCTGGCTGTGAGGCTGACTTCTTCCTTTGATTTGAGTGGCTTTTTTCCAAAATAAGTTCTTCAACATTTTCCTGTGAAAATGTAATAACAATGTTGAGGTGGAAATAATATATATATATTATAGTGAACTCCTGTAAGTCCTCTACTCTGATTCTACCATTAACACATTTCCATAATTGGTTTCTAACATATCTACTCACTTTATTTTTGACGCACTTCAAAGTCAGTCTCAGCCATCCGATGGCTTTCCTTTAGGTAGTCTGGAATTGAGGCTGTCAATCACTGGGCTTAAGTATTTGTTTGCTCTTCCTTTGTGTCAGGGCGGAAACTCAGGCTTCCCAGTGTATGCTGCTGGCATTTGGGGGGCGATGTCTCCCAAAGAAGCCCTGGAGAGCTGCCCCCGACTGGGGGTAGGGCATGTCTGCCATGTGCATTTTCTATCACTCAGCCCCCCAGCTCATGCTTTCTCAAGGGAGGGTGTAGGATGAGATCTCGGGACAAAAATGTAAACTATTTTGTTCATAAAGGACAAGTGTATACTTTGCTGTATTCCATACCCTATGAAGATATAATAAAGTTCCCTATGTCCCGACTTGGTCAATCTCCCCCTCTAACCCTTTATAGGCAACAGCTGTTCTGGATGTTTCCATTATAGATGGTGTTTGCCTCTTCTGTTAGATGCATTTAACCATATATTGTGCTCTCCTTGGACAGGGCCTGTTCCAATCAGCAGAATATGTTTTTGTTGTTTTCCTTATTAGTTTTTCAGTTTTTGGAAATTAAAATGTAATTGCATTATTTTTCCTCCCTCCCCTTCCTCCCTCCAACCCTTTCCACGTACCCTCTACTTTCTCTCAAATTCATTGCCTCTATTTCTTTAATTGTTGTTACTATATATGTGTGAATATATTCACATATATACATGTATATAACTTGATCAGTCTGTATAAAGTTACTTGTATGTATATGATTTCAAGGCTGACCATTTGGTATTGGATAATCAATTGCTGTACTCTTCTCTGGGGAAGACTATTTCTCCTGATCTCACCATTCCTTAGCCCCCTATAGTTCCTTGGTTAGCGTTGGGGCCCCATGAGATGTCTCTGTTCCATGCTAACATGTCTGTTGACGTCATCTTGTTCAGGTCTTATTTAGGTAGCCATGTTAATGAGACTTCATGGATGTAACCCCCCTGGCATTTCTAGGAGATGCAATCTCCCAGCCGAGTTCTTGGTCCTCTGGCTCTTAAAATCTTTCTGCTCCCTCTTAAGATGTTCTCTGAGCTTTAGGTATAGAAACTGTAGATCTATACCTGGGGCTGGGCACCATATGCTCACCTGTTCACTGTCCTTTGATCTGTTGTTGTTTTCAGTAATGATCTTCATCTGTTGCAAAGAGAACTTTCTTCATTGAAGGGTAATAGCTATACTTTTCTGGGGGTATAAGGATAAATGTTTAGATTGTGGGTTCTCTCCTTTCTCTCTCTCTCTCTCTCTCTCTCTCTCTCTCTCTCTCTCTCTCTCTCTTCCTATGTAGTCCTAGCTAGCCTGGAACTCCATATAAACTGTGCTGGCCTTGAACTCACAGAAGTCCACCTACCTCTGCCTCCAGAGTATTGACAAATATTCTTGTTCAAGTCATGTTATACATATACACTTTCATTTAAAGTATCTAGAAGTGGCTCTCTGCCAGGGTTGCATGCAGGCTGTCAACTGGCCAGGGTAACCACAGCACTGGGCAGGGCAGTTCAAAGGGATAGTGCATCCAGGTGTGGATTTTATGGATGACACCAGCTGCTCCATTATCCGAAATGTGAAAGGCTCATGGGAAAGGGTGATGTGTTCACCATACTGGAGCCAGAAAGAGAGACTTGGAGGATTGCTGATATTGTTGCTGAGTCCTGGGTATCTACCACTTGGCCAATGGGATGAGCTACAACTGTTATAGCCTTTGTATTGTGTGTATTAAAAAATATCTAGAATTGGAATTGCTAACTTTATAGATTGCATATAGACACACATACACACACACACACACACACACACACACACACACACACACACACACACCACACACACACACGGGTTTTAGAGACAGAGTTTCTCTGTGTTAACCTTGGCTGTCCCAGAACTTACTTTGTAGATCAGGCTGGCCTTGAACTCACAAAGATCTGCCTGCTGCTGCCTCCTGAGTGCTGGGATTAAAGGTGTGCACCACCACTGCCTGGCTCAAGACATAATTTTATAAGAAGTGCTAAATTCTTCTGCCTCTAAGTGTTTTATTCTAGCATTTTAACACTTTACCAATAAGTGTGTAGTGATTCTGGTTGTTGCCTACCCTTATCAACATTTGATGTTGTCATTTTTTTAAAAATTTTAGCCATCCAGGTAGATGAATAAAGGCAAACCCATTATGGCTTTAATAACACTGTTTTTGTTTGTTTTTGAAACAAGGACTCACCACATATCTCAGGCTGGCCTTGAAGTCAGTAATCTTCCTGCCTCAGCCTGTTTGAGGTGGGATCACAGGCACGAGCAAGCACGTCTTTTAAAACAATTTATTGTTTGAGGTGGGTGTCTCATTGTGTGGTCCCGAATGGCCTGGAACTCATCATGTAGCTCTTGTTGTCCCCCAAACCAAGGCAATGCTGCTGTCTTTGCCTCCCAAGGGCTGGGGTCCCAGGCACCACACCCAGCTTTAAATTTCCGTCTACCCCAACACAGAGCTGTGTCCATCCCCAGAGCTGGAACACAGTCTCCCGCTACTACAACTTATACAGTCAAGTTTCCCCAAATTTTGGGAAATTGCTGAGGTCAGCACATTGCGGGTGCAATGGATGAACCTCACCCCAAAAAAGCCACCTTCTTGGCCATTCTATCTCCTGCCAAGTACATATTGATGTTTTAATTTAGAAAATCGCTTCACAGTTTTTCTCCTTCTGCTATAATTCTGTCTTGGTTCAATCAGTATCCCTAATGTGGTCTTAAAGTTGATTTTACATTTTCTGTAATTAGCATGGGTACTTGTCTTGAGTGATCTGGAGGCTGAGATCAATGCATAGTTTTTGAAATCATTATAATCACTACTAGGAGTAGACTTTCCTATTACAACCTTTTTGGAGGACAGTGTGTTTAGGAATCGGGGGGAGTCATTTTTGGTGGTAAGATTTGATGAGAATAGCATCGTGGGGTGTAGAGCTTGAAGGAGTGACGTCAGCAAGCCTGTGAGTTTCTGTTTTCGCCCCATACTTGATGGCAGCTCTCAGGATGATACCTAGCCCTGGGAAATTTCTTTCTAGCCCCAAACATTGTATTTCGAGACCTCAATTCCACTCCAGGCCTCCTTGGCTTCCTTGGCAGTGTGTTTTGCTGTTTGTCCTAACTATCTGCTGCTGCTTGGGCAGTCCGTGTACATAAAGCCTTTTTTAAACAAACAAACAAACAAACAAACAAACAAACAAACAAACAAACAATGTCTCCACCATTGCTGCTTCAAAGTTTAGTCTTTCATGTGCACACATGTATCTGTCAGTCCTGACCTTTCTTCTGAGAGAACAGACAGACATCTTAACAGAGTTGTTCTCTAAAGGCACCAGTATGGTGTTAGTCTGGTTCCTGCCGCTGTGACAAATACCCAGAACAAATCCCCTTAAAAGGAGGGAAGATCTATTTTAGCTCCAGTTTCAGGGATTCAGACCACCGTCACTTGAACCTATTGCTTTGGGCCAGTGAAAGCACAATGCATCCATGGGCCTGTGAGAGCACAATGCATCCATGGGCCTGTGCGAGCACAGTTCATTATTGTAGGAGAGTACACTGGGGAGGAGATGTGGTCCCCTTATGGAGGCTTGAAAGCAGACAGAAAAGAAGAGATGGAGGTCACAATATCTGTTGTAGAATATTAGTCTAAGGTATGTTACATTTGTTGATGCTGTGGAATATTTGTTTAATGATGCAAAGATGTGTTGCATTCTTTTATGTTGCATTTGTTTAACTCTGTGAAGCTGTGTTACTTGGCCTGTCTAAAACATCTGATTGGTCTAATAAAGAGCTGAATGGCCAATAGCAAGGCAGGAGAAAGGATGGGCGGGGCTGTAGGCAGGGAGAATAAGTGGAAGGAGAGATCTTGGAAAGAGAAGGAGGAGGACTCCAGGGACCAGTCACCCAGCTACACAGCAAGTCACAGAGTAAGAAGTAAAGAAAGAAATGCAGAAACAGAGAAAGGCAAAAGCCCAGAGGCAAAAGGTAGACAGGACAATTTAAGTTAAGAAAAGAAAATAAGCATACTTCCAAGTAAGAAAAAAGCCAAGTTAAGGCCGGGCATTCATAAGAAACGATAAGACTCCATGTGCATTTATTTGGGAGCTGGGTGGCAAGCCCCCCTAAGAGTAAAGAGTAATAAAACGACATACTACAAATATCCCTTTAAAAGGCACACCCTCAGTGTTCTCATTTCATTCTACCAGCCTCCCCTTAATGTCCTGGCTGGACCATGCACTGGGTAATAAATCTCAGATCCAAGTTACAGTAGTTATGACTAGTAATCTCTGTTACCTAGAATGAAAGGCCCACATTGGAAAACAAGTTTTTATTTTGAGTGTGTGTGTGTGTGTGTGTGTGTGTGTGTGTGTGTGTGTGTGACCAGAGAGGATGCTGGGAGTCCAGTCCCATCACTCATCCACGTTGTTCACTTGAGATAGGGTTTCTCACGGAACTGGAACTAGACTGGCACCAAGCAAGCTCTAGTGATTGTCCTGTCTCTGCCACTCACATGCTAGGGTGCCACACACATGTGGCTAAGCCCAGCTGTCATATTCATGTCATCATGCTTATATAATAAGCATTCCTACCTACTCACTGATGATCTCACCAACCACGTTTTTTTTTTAATGCTGGCTCAGAGCCTAATTCTGTGTTAAGTATGTTATAAACATTATAGCTTCATTCAATTCATAGATAGACGTGCCTCTATCTATGAAGTAAGCCATTCTTAGAAGTATGCTTGTTTTCAAATGAGGAACCTGAGGTTTAGAGAGGCTGGGCAAGCACAGATAGCCATTTAGTTGGTAAGCTATAGGATCATAGAATCCATACCCGGGCAGTGTGGTTAGAGTGGAAGACTTTAAGTTTTCTATCAGTCCCATGTGGAATGACGCTGCCCTGTTTCTGGCTTCAGTGTGACTTTTCTTATCTCCTTCTTGCCTCACTCCATGCTTCAGGCACACTGACAGATTCACTGTGACTAGACACAAGCCAGACTCTCTCCTAGCTTCTTGACTTGTCAAAGGCTGCTGCATCTGCCTGACCTAGAGCATGTGATCCACCCCTCACCCTTTCCATCAGTTGAGAGCATCCCTTCAGAATGAGGTCAAGCATGGCTGCTCCCACAGAAGCTTCCAAATCGAGAGCTTTTCCTTGCTCCCCCTGTGTTTCTCCGAAGCATGAGTGTGTTGGTGTTGCTTTGGTGTTTCAGTCTGTGAGTTACGTGCGGTGCAGCCTGGTCTGTACTCTAGAAGTTAGCTGGTAGGGCTTCCTGGGAAACAGACACTGAGAGCAGGACCTGGGAAGAAGACAGAGGCTCAGAACTGGGCAGAAGGCAAGTTGAGCAGAACGGTTATGTCAGGGGTCTCTATGAAGGTGAAACTGTCCTGTGGCAACTCCTCATTGAGGTGAGGGGTCAACCTCTATGCTCTTAGGACTACCAGTCATTAGATGTGCGCTGCTCCTGGGAGAGGACGTAATTGTAGGCATCATAAGAACAGTTTGGGAGAGCTAAGCTTTGAGCCGATGGTACCCAAAGGCCATTGGACATCTCAGCTCTGAATAGTGCTCTGTAGCATGAGATATAGATGAATGAATCTGTGGTGGTTTGAAAGAAAATGGCTCCCAAAGGGAGTGGCACTATTAGGAGGTGTGACCTTGTTGGAGGAAGTGTGTCACTGTAGGGGCGGACTTTGAGGTCTCTTTTGTTCAACCTTCCCTCAGTGTGACAGTCAGTTGACTTCCTGTTGCCTGCAAGATGTAGCACTCTCAGCTCAAGCACATATCTGCTTACATGCCTCCATGCTCCCCATCATGATAATAGACTGAACCTCTGAAACTGTAAGTCAGTCATTCCAATTAAATGTTTTCTTTAGAAGAGTTGCCATGGTCATGTGGTCATGGTGTCTCTTCACAGCAATATTAACCCTAACTAAGATAGAATCCATGGAGGATTCTGATGCTTCATACAGTCGTGTTTAAAAATTGAGAGATATTTAGATGATGTGGAAATAGATTAGTACATTAATTACTATTTGTTAAATAGTTAATTTGTGTTAAAAATAGTTAGTTGTTTGGTTCTTCAAGATAAAAAATTTCCTCATGTGTTCAACATTGCCTATCAAGCAGTTGACATTCCTGGAGGAGGGAAAGTGTATGTCTAAATTAAAAGAAGCTTTTCAACTTGTTTGTAATCATCAGCACAACACGTGATCATGAGCATAAGGTAAACTTGTTTATTGATTGTTATTAGAGCCTGGGACCATGCATGTGATTTTGGTGAACCTACTTTCTTTTCTTATTAAGGTCACAATGGGATCACATGGGTCCATTCCAGCTTTAAGTAGTGACATAAGGTACCCGTGTGCTGACAGTTAGCTTCAGCTTTAGTCTGTAGAATTTGTAAGCCAGATGTCCCCTCCCTCCCCATTCCTGGGTATTGCTGAATTGGTCCTGGGATATGGCCTGCTTGGTTTACAGCCTTTTACAGATATAATGAATTTTCATCCTGGTTCCTCTCACTATTGGAAGAAGACTCTGGCCTTCGGAACCACAGGACCTTTGACCTCCAACTACCTGGAATCTGAGCTACCAATGGAGAGACTCAGAAAGAGCGAGCCTGTTGGCAGAGCCGTTCCCTTTGTGGATTACCTCAAACTGTGGTCATTTAGAGAATGGCTGGGGAATTGTTTACTTCCCTGGGTAAACACATACGCCGTTTGTCAGTCTGAATGTACCAGGTACCTCCTGGTTGCCAGCTGGAGGTCCTTGGTGCCCCTAGCATGGCAACGGGACAAGATTTTCAGGATCGGCTTTCTTTACAAAGATGCAGAGATCCCCAGTCCCCTTTAGCTTTCTTCCTTTGGGTTCAAGACAGGAAGATTTTGGAAGAGGCATTTTGGAGAATCTTGCAAAGCATTCTTCCTTCACATTTTACACAGTGGTCCAACTCTCCATTGGAAGTGCTACTTGTAGAGCACCCACCTGTATTGACATGACAGTCTTCAATATTTTATGAGTGGCTGCATGCATTCATTTAATGAACAATTGAATTGAATGCCTCTCATATGGCAAGTATTGCTTTAGGGGCTAGATACATATCTATAAACAGATAAAATCCCTGATTTCACAGTGTTAATAGTCCAGTGAGGGAAGATCATCCATCACAGCGGGGAAAGCATGGCGGACTGCACAGCAGTGGAGGCGTGCAGCTGGGACTCCTCACATCTCGGTAGACCAGGAAGCAGAGTGTTTGGGTCGGAAGCAGAGCTAGCCGGTAACTCTCAGGCCCCACCCTTTGCTGGCTGTGTTCCTCATCCAAAAGACTCTAGAATCTTCCCAAACAGTACTACTATCTGGGAGCCAAGTTGTTCAAACACATGCCCTTGTGGGTGGTGGTGCTGGTGGTGGTATTTCACATTCCAATCAGAACAATTATCCTATCTGCTACACAGGAGAGTGAGCCCAGAAAAGGAGTATAGCATAGTGGTGGTTGAAGACCTTTCAATACAGATGAGATGATAGTTAAGCAGAGGTTAGAAAGAGGTAAGGCAGTGAACTATGTAGATATTGAAGAGAAAACATTTTGGATGAAGTGGCATAGGCTAGCTTATAGTTTGGCATAGATTAGTCTGTG